GTGCAGACTCTTCAGCTTTGGGCACAGATCCTTCAGCCCTCCTTTGCAGACCCATCAGCCTGGACTCTCATGGCACATTGCAGTGACCTCCAGATCATCAACCAGATCCTTCAGTCTCCGGTGTGCAGAGACCCTCTGCACTCTTCCACATCGGACTCTATGGCCCCTCTATGCCAATCTTGTGAATTCTTATGTATTTGTATATCTTATATGTTTATCTAGTAAACACTGATTAATATACCATTTAAGGTAAGACTGAAAGCATTATGATTTTTTGATAGATCTCAGGATTTAGAGTTGAATGAGAATAAGATAAAATAGAATTTATAAAATATAATGATAACCGGCAATGAGGATTGAGAGAAGTGAATCAGTCTGGAAATTGGGATAATGAGATTTCACTATTAACTGTCACATACATTTTTGGTTTTATTTATTTATTTATTTATTTATTTATTTATTTATTTATTTGCAGAATCAGGGATTGAACTCAGGCCCTTGCGCTTGCCATTTATTTATTTATTTATTTGCAGAATCAGGGATTGAACTCAGGCCCTTGCGCTTGCCAGGGAAGTGCTTATTCCACTGAGCCATCTCCCTGCCCCCATTTTTGGTTTTAAATAAATAAAATGTTTGCATAAACAGCATTCACTGATGGAATCTAAATGTTATTATTCTAATTTTTTTTTTGCTTTGTTAACAATTCAGTTGGAGAGGTATAATAAAAAGCTATAAACACTGAATATGCAACCTCACACAGAAAGATCAAAAAATCCAAACTCAAACATATGTAAGTTGAAGTGAAGATGACCAAAAATATTTTTGCAAATCATGCATGCTTTTGGAGAGCTAAATTGCTATTATTGCTTCAGAAAATAACCTGCTTGTAGAGATTGTTCAGATTAGTTCAGTTTATACTTTGATCCAGAAAGTTTATAAAACAGAAGCTCTGTAGACTTAAATATTTATAAAAAAACTCATTTATTACAGAAATTTATTGTTTCAATACCTTAAAATATCTTAATCATCTATCAATTTTTTATACTATGGAATGGTATCTATCAAACAAATACATTAAGATTAAACATAGAGGAAGGCACTATAAATTACTAAATAAGAACTGCTAGTATAACACACCTATTTGTGAAGAATAAAATATTTTTCACAGGTTTCCATATGTTTTATATAAAGGAAATTTTAAAATATGGCTACACATATACAAGACAACTCTTACAGACTCCTTCTAGGACGAAAAGAAGACAAAATTAACGGATTAAAAGCACATACTATAGCAAAATGAAAAAAATGGTTTAGCAAAGTCAAATTAAATTCTTAAGGCATATAAATATGTAAAATCATAAGTACAGACAAGCAGAATCAAATGTTGACAAATTACTTTCATCATTGGTGATTATGTTTTAGAGTTACAGTTATTTCCACTTATGCAATATGAGTTAGTACTTACGTCTCTTGAATAGATTGTGGCTCAAATATTAGTTTTTAAAATCTGAAGATGAAGAACTTCATGATTAAGCATATGGTGAATTAATTACAAAGAAGAAATAACATTTGAAACAATTATCAATGATCTTGTGCAAGCTTGATTTAGCATAGAGAAACCCAAAATATAAATAAAGAGAAAAAGGAGATACAGATCTTTTGTTAAAGGAGAAGAAAACCAAGAGATGGAGAGTGTAGAGATAGAAAAAAGAATTGAGATGTGTCATCTACATGTACCAAATCCCCAGAAGGAATACAATCATTCTGTGCTGCAAAGTACTAAAAAATAAGCCAAACCTGAAAAAACTTTGAAATGTAAATGTAAAACATTGATTATAAAAATGTCACACCCTAAAAACAAGTGTAGGGAAAGAATGACTACTTACTGTTTTTCAAGTTGGAGAGTGTAACTCTTCTCATCGATATCGATGATATACGTGACCTGCAGTGAAGGTTTCAGGGAGAAAGTACTCGTTAGAAATGCCAACTGCTATATCCTAATATCTGTAATCTGAGCAACTACAATGAAGACAGCAATGTGCAATATAACAACCACTGTTGAATATCTTTCATCCTGTTTAAAATGTGTATCATTTCTAAAGTCTTATGTATTATTTTTACACTCTCTTTAAAAAATAAATTTTTAAAAAATATAAAGTATAAGGAGAAAAATTAATGTTTATTGAAAGGAAGAGTTCCTACTTAACTGTTTGAACAATATTGTATGAATGCCTAGATCTGGTAATCTGAGCAACAAATTTGATAACAATGTATAATATAACAACAATTGTCAATTTTCTATTCTTGTTTGGAAATTTTGTACCATTTTTATTGTTTTATATTGCTTTGTTTTTGTCATTTTGGCTTTTTCCTCTTTAAAACAAATTTAAAGAAATTTCAACATCTGTAATGTAAAAAGTTGTAACTTTTAAAAAATTACGTATTTCTTATTCATGAGATGTCAAAATAATAAATTAGAAATATGAATAAAATAATCAATATTGCTAAAAGCCATGTATATCTTTAAGCTTAATAGAAATATGGGCTAAAGTGAGCTATTCCGTTGGATCATGTCAGCATAGACCAGGAAAATTGAACTAAGCCTGTTGCAGGTACAGGAAGACATGCATCATCATCCTCTGAAAATGACTGTCAAATAATGTAATTTTTCTGGAAAATATTTTCAGTATTTATGAAAAAATTCTAAGAAGATAATTTTCCAAAGTTCATAAAACCACATTCAAAAAATTGCACAAATTGCTGATTGTTACATCTTTATCAAAAATAAAGTCATATTAGTTACAAAAATAAATCTTTTTTTTTTTGGTGGAACCGTGGATTAAACTCAGGCCCTTGCTCTTGCCAGGGAAGCAAATTATTCCTTTGAGCCATCTCCTCAGCCGAAAAATAAATCTTAATTTTATATATAAATCAAAAAGTCAATAATATTCTAATTAAAATGTGTGTGTTTGTATATGATTAAGTATTCATTTCATTAAAATTTATCTTTAAAAACAGGTTTATATTCACTTTTTTCAGATTATTCTGTATAGGCTAGAATAAAGTTTACAGTGCACATGCTTTACTAATTTGATTAAAATATTAGTTTTACAACAGATTTATGGTACATATACACGAATATATAAGCATGATGATATCATGCATATATATATTGCTATGTTTAAACCATTTTATGAACAAACAGTTTGATCTCATAGAACACATATTAAGGTGTTTGTTGTTGTTGTTGTTTTTTTCTTTTTCAGGCACTGGGGATTGAACTCAGAACCTTGCGATTGCCAGGCAGAAACTTATACCTCTGAGCTATACTCCCAGCCCTTAAAATATCTTAATCATCTATCAATTTGAATAGTTTTGAGAAAAACAGTGCAGTAAACTCTATGCTATTTGTGATCTAGGGAGTATAGGGATTTTTCTTGAGTTTGTGTTTTAACATCTGTTCATGATATTCGTGGATTACTTGAGAAATGTTTTAAAAATCAAACTCTTGAAGTCACTCAAAGAAAAAAGCTCTTTCGCACAGTACATTAGAACACAGGTAGGAAAGGGATGAGCACCGACTTCAGCCACAAGCTGCAGCAGACAGGAGCTCCCTAAAATGCCGGCGGGCCAGTACCTGCGCTGCGGGCGCCGCGCCATCCTCGTCACTCTCCACCCTGTAGGGCACCGTAAGTTGCAGCTTCTGAGACTCTGCGGGAGGAAACTCCGTGAGCGACCGCGTGGGCAGCGGCACCCCGCCCCGCCTGTGCCCTCACCTCGGGTCGCCCCACACTTCCCGGGGGCGGACGAGGACCGACACCGGCTCAGCCTCGGCAGGGCGGGGCGGGCCGCGACTCCCACCCGGCTCCCCATCGCCCAGGGCGCCTCCCTTCTTCAGGGCGGCCCCGCGGGACGGCGGGGGCGGTCCCAGGTCTGGTCGGAGCTGTGGGAGCCCGACCCGCAGCACCCCGAGGCAGGGACAGTGCCCCGACTCCATCATCCTCCTTACGCGGGCTGGAGGAGGCCGCCAGGCCCGCGAAGACCAGCAGGAGAGACAGCATAGCGCGGCGCTGGCCTGGCCACCCAGGCGGCCCCGGCGGCAACAGTTGGTCCGCAGCTCCGCGTGCGGCGAGGGGGGCGGGGCGGGGCGGGGGCGGGGCGCTGGGAGGCCCCGCCCACAGCATGCCTCACCCTGGGCGGGGCCCGAGCCCCTCTCCTGTAGGTGCAGGGGAGCTCTGCAGCCTGCACCACTGGGCACACCGGGTTAAGATACTCAAGTCTGACTTCTAAAGGGCGGTCAGGTTAGCACAAACTTTTTATTAAGCACCACTCTCCTTTAGGCATCTGTTGGGAGGACCTATTGGAAAAACGGATACTCCATGTAGTACCTTTCGAGGACAATGGCTGAATTATTGGAGTTGAGGAATACAGAAAAAAACAAATCGAGATTGCATTTAGTTTTAACTATGTCTAAGAGTGGAGTTTTACACTTTAAATCTCACGTCAATATCACAAACATGAAAAAGACTTGAAAGTTTATTCTTTTTTAGGGAAGGGTCTAAGGATGTGCAGGGTCTCACTACTAGATTGGACTCGTAGTGACTCTCCTGTTTACAACCTCTCAAGTGCTGGGATTACAGGCGCAGGCCACCAGTCTCAATTGCCTTCTCAGCAGGCCAGCACAGCAGACCTGGGATACAACCTCCAGCCCCTGCACCGGCTTGCAGGTGCTTTAATCTGCTGAGCTATTTGGCTGGCCCTTAAAATTTTATTCTTGCATTGCCTAGGTGTTATCAGAACTGAGATAGCCTGTTCACATGGCTCACCTGGGGCGCTCTTTGTTCTAGGGCCTTACTCCAGCTGCAAGTGTGAACAGTCTCTAGCTTTGGCCACTCCCCATATCTCGCCCTTTCAGTTTTGTGGTTGCAAACAATGGATGGTCTATAGAAGTTGGAGGAGCTGTGTTTGGAAGGCTCTGTGGAAGACCTTCTCATTCTCAAACCCTTTTTATTCTGAGTGAACTTGTTTAGGAGAAAGATTTGTAGCCCAAACATTTTAAGTTTCTGCATTCAGCAATTTAATCCTGTGTAGCCCATTAATCCATAAGAGCAGTTACTGTGCAGCTGAAAATTGTCAAAAGGGGCCACTGATTTGAGTTTCTTTTACACTTAGTATATTAGTACGGCATTTTTAAACATATCTCTTGTGGTTTTTGTTTTCTGCTGGATGGTCAAGACCAAGTTAAGGTGAGCTCTGTATTATTTAAATTTCTTTTTACTCTGAATCAAGGTCATTAAGTCTCCTGAGGATTTATCTTGGAACCGTGCACAGCACCTCTTAGTTCTCTCAGTGTCAGCTTTTGGGATGAGTCATGGCCATTGCTTGACTGAGTTGCTTTCTACAAAATCTTGGGAGACCTTTTTCTTTCCTGTTACTCTCTTTAGGCACACTATACATTACTGATAACTTTCCTCTGTAGTCCCACAGTCTGCCTGAATAGAAGACCAGGGACTCATTGGGTTATAGGATGTCACAGCAGAGATTTTCTTATGTCCTCGGTCCTTATTGACCTCAGAAGGGTGGGCCTGAAATATTGGCTGTCCTCCTGGACCAGCTATCTTTCTAGAGTTTTGTCTCCCCACATCAATTGCTGAACATCCCGATGAGAATGTAATGTTACATTTCTTGGGAGCAGTGAGTTTAATAGTATACAAAATAGAACCACTATTTCTTACCAATCATGAATGTTTTAATATTTGAGTCTCTATGGAATATTAGCAGACTACAGTTACATATTTTGCACAGAAAATTAAATCAAATGCCATACATAATATAATAGCATGATAATCATGATGACATTTTTGTACCACACCTCAATATTCATCTTGACATAAAATAGCCCACTCAGTCAATCGTTCCTATCTAGTACATAGAAGCTCTTATTTAACCTGTTGGCCTTT